ATCAAATTGCCTTGTAAATCTTCCTGACAGTGTGCACGGATGTCACCTCACTTTACACACAGTTCTGTGATAGCAGGTCAGCCCTTCTCATGTCTTCAATGGATGCATAAACTAATATTTGAAAACGGGAAAAAAAAATATGGAGGATGCAAAGCTTTTTCTTGATGCGTTGCCTGCATGGACACTCAACATGAGGCAACTTTCTCTTAAGGATTCCTTCACTCTGAGAAAACGTTTTTGTAGAATAAAGGAAAAAGAGTAAGGCTTAGTTCATGAGAGCTTAACATGGCCAAAATGCTCTTCTTTGCATACAAACGTGTTTTGAAAGCTTTCTTGGAATTGGCCCAGTCATTCTTGCCTGTCTTTATCTCTCTCTAACAAAAAGGAATTTTCTTTAAAAGGTTCACTTAGTCTGTTTTAAAGTTTAGAAACCAACCATCCTCTCTCACCACTAATTTGCTTGTATTTTCTTTCTTTCCTTCTTTTTCTTTTTCTTTTTCTTTTTCTTTTTCTTTTTCTTTTTCTTTTTCTTTTTCTTTTTCTTTTTCTTTTTCTTTTTCTTTTTCTTTTTCTTTTTCTTTTTCTTTTTCTTTTTCTTTTTCTTTTTCTTTTTCTTTTTCTTTTTCTTTTTCTTTTTCTTTTTCTCCTTCGTCTTCTTTTTCTCTGTCTTTTTTCCCTATTCTTTCTGACCATGCCATAGAACAACTTTTTACTATGCTCATCACTACTTAGTATGATGGGCTTATATCCAAGAAAGATTTTGTAAGTAAGGCAGTTGGACTGCTATGTGAGACTGGCTGAAGATTATGTGAGAAATCACAGTACTTGGAAATCATGACTACAGCACTTGAGTGGACAACATTCAGTTACCTTAGGGTGTGACCTCTCTTTCCATCATTACATTTAAAAAAAAAAAAGTAGTCTTGGAATATCATGAATCTTAAAACTGAAATGTAAAAAACGCTGTAAAGAATAGCATCCAGGAAATTATTCAATCAGGGATTGAAAACTAGACAGAAGTATTTACACTGCAAATATTAATTTATTGGCTGTAATATATTCATTGATTTTACAGTCTAATATGACGATGTCTAGTGCACTAATAAATGTGTTTGAGTAGAGTCAATACACAATGATGGAAGTATGTTTTCCATGGTACAGCTTTGCCAGACGACAGTGTTATTACCCCAACTCTCCACTCAGAACGTCACAAAACCAGTTAGCTGACCTTGGTCTTCTCTGTTTTACCTGCCTTTAAACTGCACTTAGGCGGTATGTAAGCTTAATTAACTGCATTCAGGAAATACATTTTAAGGATATTTTGAGAAGTAAATAATAACAAAATAATAAAAACCTATACGTACATCATTAACAGGACCTATACAGTGTGTCACTGAACATCACACTGTGCTTGTAAGAACTCCTCTTCTGCCTAAGCCTCATCGATGCCTGTTTAATCTTTCTGTGTTTTGCAAAACAATGTAGTAATTGCATCAGTTAATCACTAGATGTAAATAAGTTTACCACACGTTGTGGAAATGAAATGACCTTTAAAAACAGGCAGACTTAGGGCGAGTTTTCAGAAGCAGTGCAAAGGGAAAACTTGCTCTTCAGTAAATAAAGTGTGTTGATGACATTCTATGTTCAACAAACAATCCAGGACATGGGAAAAATTGATGGTTTTGATAGTTTTATTTCATTGTGAAACATGCAATGCTTGTTTATGGTTCAGATATTATCCTCTTGTTAAGAGAAAAATAAAGTGCTTTTCGTACTGCTGCCAAGATACAACTTAAAAAAACCAGTGAATTCATCATTTCAGATTGTATTTCCTTCCTCCTGTGCTTCTTCCATTCAGATACATAACAGATTTGTGGAAATTGTCACAAAGTCCTTCTCATGTAACTTCCTGAAGCTTTAAGGGAGGATAAGCTCTAATAGAAGTTTAACATTTCGACTATCTCATTTCAGCTATTCAGCTGGTTGTGACACAAACAGCTCTTTAGAGTAGAGCTGATAAATGTTTTTATTCAGATTTTTCCAAAGCAGACGCTGCTGCAAAGAGCATAGGATAAAATTTATTCTGTAAGAGAAAATCAGCACAAGGTCACAAATCTCATGTAAGCCTGAACATCTGGCCAAATACCATAAAATTTGAATATATCTGAATGGTTTTTGAAAATCATGTGTGCGAATCCACATTTGTATCACATAAATAATTTAAACTTTTGGCCCAAGTTAGGAACAGCAAGTCCTAATTCTGTATAAACCCTCAGGAAATACTCATCCAAGCTGTTGTCTATACCATTCTTTGGACAAAGAAACCTGAAAGAAGCAAATAATGGATTTTGTTTACATTAAAACTATAGTATAAAATTTAAACAAGCCCATAGAAAATGGTTTATCTCACTGGGGAGCTGGACAGATGGGTTGGCATCAAAACACTGCTTGCTCTCCTGTGGGTCCCTCCTATTTGTACTCTGCTTTGTTTTTTGCAAACAGTTGTAATAGCCTGTGCCTTGTGCACAGAACTGCTATTTTTAATGAAAAACTAATTGTAAGAAAATATTTAAACAATACAGCAAGCGTGAATTGAAAGGTCCAAGCTGTACTGATATGCGTTCACATGCATGAATACAAATATGACACGTTAAAAAAACAAAAAGCCAATCAGGCGGTGCTACTATGGTGACGTGTCAGGTGTAGCAACTAAAGCCCCGTGGTTTATGGTGTGTTTTAGCACTTTTGGAGCTGTCTTCTCAAAACCTGTATCACATTTGTTTGCTGAGGAAGACGAGTCAAGAACAAGGATGCCTTTTCTACCAGGTTCTTTGGCAAAGGTGTGGACATACTGACATATCCTGTCGACAGAAGCTGAGGATCTCTCCTTCTGCCTTTTCAGGGCACTTTTTTCCTCCTTCTGTATAACTAACACTGATGTTCACGATACAAAGTCATGAGAATGTGTGAAGTAGATGTTTTATTTTGTTAGGTTTTCGTTTAGAGGGAGGGATTGATTTTTCTTTAAATGTTTAATGTTTATGTTACAGATATATGTCAGAAAAGGACAAAGAAAAGTTCCTGGCACTTGACACTCCAGTGAGTGCCGCTGTGGGTGTATGCAAACACCAGATGATGTTCATAGCTGACAAGGGCCAGTTGTTTGCTCTTTTCTTGTTCCTTCTTCTGAAGGAACCCCACAGGTTTCAACATGCACTGTATTGTAAAGACTTCGAACTTTATTTAAAACCCTTCCCTACTTAGTGCAAATCAGCTGCAACTATGTCATGAGGTTGAAGTAACAGGAATAAATAGTCCTCATGAACTGTTAGAATAAAGCAAACAGCCTGAGGCATTGCCATGCCTTTCTGACAAACGCAAAATCCCATGTTGGAGAATGTAAGATGGAAAATCATGGGGCTTTTGTTTCAGAAAGGCACTAGACTTCCATGTACTTGTGATGTGTAGTCTTGCTCTGAGACATTGTAGACATTACAGGACAGATTTTGCCCAGGAACAGGTGGCTATAGACATCTTGGAGAAAGGAGTTTAATTTTTAAAATTTTTCTTAATTAAAAAATGTTTTTTTGCAAACTTGTCTATAGCATAACAAGTGGAATCTTGAATCTTCAAGCATGCAGAGGTATGTCCAGAGACATCCAAACTCAGGTTTAATATTGTGAATCCATAGTCAGAGTCTTCTACAGAGAACACTGCATCCTGAGGTCAGTGCATTATTCATGCATGATGCCCTAGTTTTGATAGGTTCCCCCAAATAATTTGCTCAGAGTGTGTCCACCCTGCAGACCATAGTGTAGATGTAACTCACCTTAAATGAGCTTCTCCAGGTCGAGTGTAGCCACCTGCAGTTTGCCCGAGGCTGAATTACTGAGCTGCTTGGCCAGAAATTTTAACTTCTTCAAACCTCAGTAGCTGATGAGCTTCCATCACCTGAGTTAACACCATCCACGTACTGCTCAGCTCCCAGCACAGACAGCTCTGTTGTGCATAGATGTGGGTCCAGTGTGTTTGGCCTTTTAATGATGGGGACCTCGGTTTTCAAGCAAATCACAAAGGTCATCAGAAGCCACAGAGGACCACAGGACTTCAAAGTGACCTTTTGTTTTCAGTACAGACCATTTTATTGCAAGGTTTGACACTGCACAGGGTCAGTAACAAATTATTTCACTGCAGATCAAGATGTTTTTGAAACTAGCTCTTTGCTCAAGCATCGGATTTATTCCTTCAGATATCGCCATCTGAGAAAGTTCTTGATGAAATGGTTCTACAAGACTCACTTTACTGGCCCTAGAGAGATGTTGGTTCATCAGATCTGTTTCAGACATCCACCCTGGCCTGAGTGCACGCCCAGGGGGACTTAAATTAGCTGTCTGCATCACAGATCTCTACTTTTTATCCAGTGAATCCCACCTCCAGTGTGTGCTAGTGAGCCCTCCTGTCTGCAACAAGGTCCTCTGCATGGCAGAGAGGGAAGTCCGTGTCTGCTCTTGGTTGAGCACAGGCAGCACCTTGCACAGCCCCTAACTATGGCAGTGAAGGAGAAGTGATATGCTCCTCCTCCTCCTGAGCAGGTTAGCTTACACTCTGCTGAAGCTGGACTATCAACCCACTGCTCAGATGGGGATATCTGAAGGAACAAATCTGATTCTTGAACAAACAACCAGTATCATAATCTGATTTTCGTTTATTAGTCACACTGTGTATTTTGAAGGAGAGGCTGGTTTCTACTGGTGAGCAACTGGTTGTACCAACCACACCAGGGTGATAAAACTCAAGTTTTGAATAGCTGTCAGCAGAGAGGTGTGTGCTGCAAGCAGTGCTCAGATACGGATGTTTGCTAAGGGATAACTGTCCCTCTGGTGTGCCACCAATGATTGGATGGGACGGTTACATAAAGCACCTCAGAGTAAGACCAGCCTCCATCCTCCAAGAGAGCCCTGAGACTGTTCCTGTTCAGAAGAAAGCTGAACTCCAGCAACATGTCTCAGCTGGAAACTGCAATGGGAATGACCATTGCTGTCTTTGACAAGTACGCAAAGACTGACGGCAACAGGCAAACCCTCACCAAAGCAGAACTAAAGACCCTCCTGGAAAATGAACTCCCAAACTTCCTCTCGGTAAGAAAACAGTGCGGAAGCATTTCTGTGTAGCGGGTGCACGGGCTGCATGCAGACACAGGTTTTAGAACATTATAGGGGAAATTACATCTGGAAATATGCAATGGTTTGTAGACAAATTTTAAATAGAAATGACTTTGCACATACTGTATAAAACTGATTCTAATATTCAAGGCCATTTCCTGTTCTAAATTCGTCACTCGAGTTATCAGGACAATGGCTTTGAAATAGATTGGGTTTCATCTTCAGAATTCACCTCTATCTTCTGTTTATCCCTGGATTTACAAGCTCATGTCATGTCACAACTGCTATGAAGGTACTTATGTTGTCAGCAATTGAAGATCTTGATTGCAGATGAGGAATCTCTCTAAATATTTCTACGTTTACTTTCTCTAGGTGTTTATACTACATACTCAGTCTGCACATCAAAATGATGCATAAACAAGAACAACAGATGAACTCAGAGTAAACTGTTCTGCATTTGTCTTTAATAGTAAAAGAAAGACCTGAAAAAAGTATTTTACAATGTAGATTTTTATGTAATCATCATATGCATTTAAGTAGGTTTTATATATGTATAAATTTACTATTTATAATATATAATATATAA